GAGAGGGAGAAGCAGAGGCAAAGGCCTGAGTGACAGCATATAGCTCAGAGAAGCTGGAGGAGGAGGAGCATGGAGGACAGAGAGTGGCAAGGCTGATGAGGAGTCAGGGGTCTAGTCACCTTCCCGAGAAGAAGTGCCCATCTAGATTGTTTTTAATTAGAGCATTATAATTATGCATAGTATTTGGGCTCCTTTTGACAAGATTATACATAGAAGGAATTTGATTTCAATCCCCTGTCCCCTTCTCTTTCCTTCCCTCCTCCATCCCCCTTTTCTCACTCGTCTACTGATCTTCCCTTCATTTCTTATTGGTTTTCAATTGGTACTTTTTACATACACATAAAGGAGTTATTCCTTTTGATACATTTATATATATATATATATATATATATATATATATATATATATATAGCATGATTCTACTCAATTCATTCCATATTTCTTTTCCTTTACTGTCTCTTTCTCATTCTCCTTCTTCTACTCCACTGATCTCCCCTGTATCTTTAGGATATCTGATCCCCCCGCTGCCTTCTCTCCCTTATTTTGCTTTAGCTTCCCCATATCAGAGAAAACATTTGACACTTGATTTTCTGAGTCTGACTTATTTCTCTTAGCATGATCCCACCTAGATGTTTTTAAATATTTTTTAGTTGTAGATGAGCGTAATAACTTTTATTTTATTTATTTATTTTTATGTGGTGCTGAGGATTAAACCCAGGGTCTTGGGAGTGCTAGGCAAGCTCTCTACCACTAAGCTACGACCGCAGCCCCCACGTGGGTTTTTTAATGACTCAGAGTCCCAAATGTCCTTCCTGGCAGGGAAGAGGATTTCTGTAGATTTGATGTCATAGGGATTTCTGTACCCCCAGCCCTCCTGAGTAGTTTACCATTAGAAGACCAGAAAGGAGGAACTCTGAGGCTGGGAGGGAGGCAACCCCTACTCTTAGAAAGCTCCAGAGTGAAACCAGATGTGGTCACATGTGTTGGTAATCCCAGATAGTTGGATGACTGGGACAGGAGGGCTCCAAGTTTGAGGCTAGCCTTGACAATTTAACAAGACTCCCTGTCTCTAAATAAATAAATAAAAGGGCTGAGGATGTAGCTCTTTGGTAGAGTGCCCCTAAGTTCAATCTCCAGTATCATAGAGAAGAATAAGAAAAGGGCAGGGGGGGAGAAGAAAGCAAGCTCCAGAGGGAGGTAGAGTATCCGCTGGGTCCTGGGCTGGAAGCCAGGGCTGGACAAAATGCTTTGCCTCTCTGAGCCAAAGGTTATTTTGTTTGAATGAAAAAAACGTCACATGTAAGTGCCCTGGAAATGCTTACACTTTTATTTTCTCCTGGAAAAAGGAGCTTACTTTGCCCAAAAGGGCCCACTCAGGATGGAATAAAACATTGATTGGACATGCTCAGATTCCACACAACTCCCAGCAGGCGGAGAAGCTGTCCCAGGGACTTTCTAAGATGAAAGGGTGTCCTCGATGAGGATGGCTCCCCACTGGTGCAGGTTCCCTGCCTGCCTCTGGCTGCCTCTCCACTCTGCCCAGAGGTCAAGCGTGCCAAGGGCTTCAGCTCTTCCCACTTCTCCACTCCACCTCTACACCAAGGAGAGTTTAAGGAGCCAGGCGCTGTCACCCCTGGGCTGAGTGTTCCTTGGCACTTGAACACTGAGTGTTCAGTGCCTGGGTTTGAGCTACTTTCTAGCCGTACAGCCTGGGGAAGGCTCAGTTTCCTCACCTGGAAAATGGAATGATTCCACTGTGACTGTTGCAGAGGACCCTATGATGACAAGTGGGCTGTGTTCTGCAAGTGGCCTGAGGCCCCATGAGCACACCGTGAAGATTGTGGACCATTGTTTTTCATTTTTGTTTTGTAGTCTAGGAAGAATTTTTATTAGAATTAGGCAAAAATGTCAGCTTTGGCTTTTTGTGATTAAAATACACATAACATAATATTTATCTTTTAACCACTTTTAAATGTACAGTCCAGTGGCATCCTTCCCTCTCTCACCATGCATCCCACTATTTTTTTTAAATCCTCCCAAATGGAAACTCTGCATCCATTGAACAGAGGCTCCTCATTCCTCCCTCCCTGTGGCCCCTGGTGACCACCACTCTGCTTTCTCCATGAACTTGACTCCTCTCTGTACCCCACATAAGTGGAATCAGAGCATTTGTCTTTTCATGACAAGTTTATTTCACTTAGCATAAAGTCTGCAAGATTAACCCATGTTAGGGCATATGTCAGAATTCCCTTCCTGTTTCCAGGGGAATAATATTTTATTATATGTATAAACCACATTTTGTTTATCCATTCATCTATCAGTGGACACAGTATTCTTCTACCTTTGGCTCTTGAGAATAATCCCAATAGGGACAGGTATGCAAATACCTGTTTGAGTCTCTGCATTCAATTATTTTGTATTTATATCTGAGAATGGAATTATCGAGTCACATTGTAGTTCTATTTAACTTTTGTAAAAGAAGTTTTTTTTTTTTTTTGTACCGGGGATTGAACTCAGAGGCACTCAACCACTGAGCCACATCCCCAGCCCTATTTTGTATTTTATTTAGAGACAGTGTCTCACTGAGTTGCTTAGTGCCTGGCCGATGCTAAAGCTGGCTTTGAACTCGAGATGCTCCTGCCTCAGCCTCCCCAGCTGCTTAGGGGATTACAGGCATGAGCCTGGCTGTACAATAAGTCTTAAAGCCTTCATTTCTTCAGCTTAAAAAGGAGCACCATGGGCAGGTGAGGGGCTCTTCTTTTGCCCCTCCTCCCTCACCCAGACTCTGGCCATTGCCTTCTTGGTCACCCAACCCAAGTCTCCTCTGAATAGCACTGGCCTCCACTGTGGTAGTCCTAGTTGGGTGTGCTCCTGGCCCTTCATGGACACAGGCATCCATTCATCCTTAGTGGGGCAGCTCTTACTTCTAGTTCTTATTTCAGAGAGGAATTTGGAGGCTATTTCCTGCTTCCTGGAAGTCCTAGATGAGGCAGAAGCACTGGCACCTTGGAGTACTACCATCAGGGAGGACACTGCCAGTCCTGGAGATTCCAGCCCACGGGTGTCTTCCCAGCTCCACTGCTCCATCCCCAAGGGTCTGCATCCAGGCAGACTAGTGTCCTGGTTACAAGCATGAGCTTTGAGATCAGATAGATGTGGGCTTGGGTCCTGACGCTGGCAATAACTAGGTGTGTGCTTCAGGAGGACATTCCTTTCCTCTGAGCCTCAGTTTCCTCATTTATGGAAGGGGATAATAACAAACTCTATTAATGGAAGAATCGAGCTACCACATGACATCCTCAAGCCTTTTGCCTGGTACAGAGTCATGGTCACCCAAAGGGTTGACATGACCATGGTCATCACCTGGCCCGGCACAGGACTGAAGGAAATGGAACTCCCATATCCTAGGGTAGAGGCACAGTGAGGTAATTATGAACAGAGTCCTCAGGGTCCCAGGTGAAGACACTCAGGAAGAGATTCCAGGTTGGCCAACCAGCCTTCCCTTCCTCATGGGTCTATTATCATTTGAATTTCCTTTCCTTATTATGTACCCCAGGAAGGAAAATCAGCACATATTTGTAGAATACAATTACACAGGTGTTTTTGGTCTGGTGGTTATTTCCCTTGCTAGTTGTGGAGGATTAAATGGTGATCCATGTCCTGGAACTTGTGAATGAGACCTCATTAGGAATAAGGATCTCTGCATACATAATTGAGGATCTTGAGATGGGATTTCACAGATGGATCCTAAATCCTTATAAGAGACAGATGAGGAGATGATGAAGACACAAAGGAGGAGAAAGCTATGTGAACCTGGAGGCAGACATTGGAGTTGTGCCGCTCCAAAGCAAGGAACACCTGGACTCACCTGAAGGAGAATTCTTCAAGAACCCTCCCTTGGTGCTGGGGATGCTACTCAGTGGTAGAGCATGTGCAAGGCCCTGGATTCCATCCTCAGCATGGGGAGGGGAAAGAAATCACCCTTAAATCTTTTAGAGGGAATGCATCCCTGCTGATACCCTAATATTGGACCCCTGGCCTCCAGAACTGTGATAGAATCAACTTTTGCTGTTTTAAGCCCCCAAGTTCGGGGCAATATGATGTGACAGCCCTAGAAAATGAATATACAGGTGGAGGCCCTCAGCTCCACTCTTCGTCATAAGCCCTCTTAAGGACAGCCAGGCCGGCCTCCCCACTGGCCTCACTGCCTTTAGGCTCACTCCCTCTAGCCCCTCTGCGACACCAGGGCTGCCAGAGTGATGTTACTTAAACGCATGACAGTGTCACATTACTGTTTGAAGCCTCTACCAGTTAGAACTCTTTCCAAGTGACACAAAACCTAACTCAAACTGGCTTAAACAAAAAGGAATTTATTGGCTCATGAAATCAAAAAGGCCAGGGGCTAGGGCTGGCTCCGTCTTGGCTGGATTTGGGGCTCATATGATGTCACTGGAACTCATTTTGCTCCATCGTGCTGCCTTCTGCTGTGTTGGCTTTGGTCTCAGAATCCCCACGGTAGTGAGATAGTGACAGAAGCCCCAGCTCCTGCATCCTGTCAGATTAGAGACCAGCAGAAAGGAGTAAAGACCTTTCCTGGTCCTCCAGCCAAAGCCTGGACTGGCTCCCATTGGGCAGGATTGTCCATCCCTCAACCAATCACTCGACCCTCAACCAATCACTCGACCACAGGAGTGAAATGCACTGATTGGCTTAGGAATGGGTCATGTGCTCCAGTCCCTGGAGACATGGGTGAGTAGCCCCTACCAGAACCATGTGGTCAGAGAGGAAAGAAGGAGAAAAGTGATAAGACACAATCCAAAAAGAAAAGTCCCACCTCCCCAATTCCCTAAGCATAGCAAATACATTGGGAGCAGCAAAATAATAATAATAATAACTACTACTATTATTATTAAATATAATTTAACAATCAGTGTGTTTACCCAAATGTTCTCCAATGGACCCAGATGTAATTTGAATTTCAGCCTCACCTTGATCCCAACTTGCTTGATATCCCCAGGTGTATCCTGCCATTTTTTGCCAATGCACCTTTGCTCATGGTGGTCCACTCTGCCTAGAACATTCTTTTCTTCTCCCCCTCCTCATTATGTCACTTATTTCCAGTTCTCCTTCAGGCCTGGAGATGTAGCATAGTGGTAGAGCACTTGCTTAGCAAATTGATACCCAGGTTCTAATCCCCAGCACTGCAAAACTGCAAAAACAAACAAACAAACAAAAACTTTGCTCAGTGGAAGGTTTTGGTTTTGTCTCCACCCTGGGTCTGAAAGCATCCTCAAGTTCATTATCATGTCCTTTAACCCCTTGGATTGAACTTGACTGTTAATGAGTCTGTTTCCCCTACTGAATTTGGTGCACATCATAAGAGCAGGGGGTTATTTTGGTTTTACTTAACAAACACATAAAGCCTTTTCCAAGGTCCAACCACCATTCTAAGCTCTTTACAAATATTAACTCATAATAAACATGAGGTTTGTATTATTATTAACCCTACTTTAAAGATGGAGAAACAGGGGCTCAAAGATGTCACATCTTTTTTAATTTTTTTTTAATATTTATTTTTTAGTTTTTGGCGGACACAACATCTTTTGTTTTTGTATGTGGTGTTGAGGATCGAACCCGGGCCACACGCATGCCAGGCGAGCACGCTACCACCCGAGCCACATCCCCAGCCCACAAAGATGTCATATCTAATTCAACCACATATTTGCCAAGCCAAACCCAGGCCTAAGCTCAGGGTGGGTATTCGATGGTAGGGCTGGGGCTCAATGGTAGAGTACTTGCCTAGCACGTGCAAGGTCCTGGGTTCCAACCCCAGCACCAAAAAGAAGAAAAACAAAAATGTGTCTTTCAGGTTGTTTCCTGTAGTCTCTGTTCCCAACTCACCAAGAGGTCATATCTTCAGATTTTCCCATTTCCCAAAGTGGCCTGCATTCTGGGCCTTCTGAGTTGGAAGGGGGTGTGCTGAGGTGGCTGCAGCCAGAGCAACCCGAGCTGGCCTCCCTTTGGCTCTGCAGTTGATGACCAGGGTGCCATGACGAAAGGTCCCAATCTAGACCCTTTAAGCCTATGAAATCCTTGTGGATGGAGGATGAGCCAGGGAGACCCCAGGTGGCCTCCCTTATCAACCCTGTGTTCCCAGAGCCCAGTCCAGGGTCCATCCTCATGGTCATTAACCTGCCTGTGCTCCTGAGGAAGCACAGTGGCTTTTAAAAAACATGGTCAGTCCTCACAGGAGGGAGTAGCTCACTAAGAATGACCAGCTTCCACTTCCGTGGCTCTGCAGCATTCGCGCATCTGCCTCTCTCCTTCCTCCATTGCCCTGCCAGGGCTGCCCGCTTTCTCTGTCTCAGAGGCTCTCGCTTGGTCTCACCCCATCTCACCCTCTCTGCCTCAGTTGGCTTCCTTTCCTTGTTCCTGTTCTGGGTCTTTTCTCTGTCTCTTCCTGCTGAACTCTTCTCTACTGTATCCCCTGGGGTGTGTATACCTGTCATGTCCCTTCATGTTCCCTGGATAGCTGTCTGTTTTTCAGTCTATTTCACCCCATCTTTGGTTACCTGGGCTGTCCAGAAATGGGCCTGGGACCTCTTGTTTTCTCAACACCTTGAGAGAAGCCCCAGCAACCCCCGTCCCAAGACTCCTCCCATCCTCTGAGCCTCCCGTTGGCTCTTCTTGATCCAGAGGGCGCCTCTATCCAGCCCAGGGAGCAGGAACCCTCAGAGCCATACAGGCAGGGTTGCTGGCTGCTGCCCCAAGGACCAGGTCTCCATAGTTTCTCTTAATGACTGTGCCTTCAGTGACACATTCATTATTCCTGTTTGGTCGCTTCTAGTCAAAACTGATTAGTTACACTTACCACTGCAAAGATTTAATGATTTTATTGTTTATCTTCAATTTATTTTGATTAACATCTCCGTTCTTTTCATTGCAAGTGCAATTAGGTGCAATCTAACAGCGACTACTTTAATTTTGTTGAAATTAAGATGAATAAGTGACGGCTTATGGTGCTTTGTTTAACAAATAAATCATAGTTAAGAGGAGTGTATTAGTAATAAATGAAAAAAGACAGCTTAATTAAAATGCACAGAGCCAGCCTCTTGATGTACATCCAAAAACCAAATCTGAATTCCAAAAACCAGAGAGAGCTGAGGATTAGGAAGACCCTCGCTGCCTCTCGAAATGGTGATCAGAGAATGATAGACAGTGTGGTTTGGTTTTGAGGATGCTCTGTGGACGACAAGAACAAGGAGCATGTTATGATCCTTTTGAGATGGTCGCACCTTGTTAGCAAAAGCCACCACCAGGGGAACCCAGGTAGAGGCAGATGTGGGAGAACACAGGAGAAGAGGCCTCATTCCCTGAGGAGGATGCTTGTACCATAAATTCACCCTGGGAACCACCGGAAGCAGGGGACAGGTCCCTCCACCACTGAATCTGGGGAGGAGCAGGTTGCCCTGCTGGGGAGCCCCTCTCGAAGCCTAGGACCCCAGGGCAAGTGTCTCAGTGAGATCTCCTCCCCGCTGGGCTGAGAGGGACTTCCCCATCTCTTGATTTGGAAACAAAGTGCAAAAAGTCAGCCCTGGAAAGTTTCCCGTGTGAAGTTTAAAAGCGCCTGTGCTGGAGAGGCTGGCTTTGAAGCAGCTCGCTGGGCCCCTCAGCAGGCTCCTGTGAGTCAGAAGACTGGCCTCGTCTCAGATCCGCAGTGCCTGCCTCCGCAAGGCTGGGAAATGGGAATTGTTTTTAAGTTGAAAAATTACTCATGGAGCTCACTCCTTTGCCACGGCACTTCTTTTGTTCTCAGTCATCTCCTTCCTCTGCCTTCTCCTCCTCTTTTGCTTCCTTCTTCTAGTGAAGAGCAGGCAGACCCGAGTTCAAACCTGAGTTCAGGCTCTTACCGGCTGTGTGACCTCAGGCCAGTGACTTAACCTACTGGACTTCCTCAGAAAAGGGTGGGTAATGGTACCCATGAGAGTTGGTGCTATGAAGGTTGACAGAGTAACTGCACCAGCCTGGCTCAGAGGAGCAGCTCAGGAAACATTCAGACCCTCCCTCTCTCCAGACCCCTCCCAGCTCTTCCTGGCTAGATCTTCTTAGGCAAATCTCCTCTTTGGCTTCCTTCACTCCTACTCACCCTTCAGCCTTCTGCACTTTAACTTCACTTTTCCTTTTCATTCTCTCAATATGTGTTACTGAGTACCTGCCTTGGGCCAGGCAAACCTTAGGGACCACTGTGCTAGGTAAGTGAACTCAGGACGGACCTGACCTGCCCTCAGAGTTTTTAGTCTCATGCCTCAAGTCCCCTGCGGGTGACTCCCTCTTAATGGTCATCATCATCCTATGTGTTCTAAGGTGTCTTCCCCACAAATTGAGTGCTGTGTGACAGCAGGGGTGAGTTGCCAAGGTAGGCAATGCCACTTCAGGGTGGGCAGTTCTGGACCAGAGACGGGGAGAGGGACAAGAGATGGCAACCCCCAAGATGGACCAAAAGAAAATGACATGTCTAGGGATTGAACCTGGCTTCTTCTGTCTAGTTCAGAAAAGGACAAATCAGGCCCCATGTGGTTTAGGGTTAAGAAGAGCTGTTCCTTTGACTGAGACCCAGACTCCTCCACTTGGTCTAGAAGAACCACCCCTTCCAGGTTTGGCCCTGCCTACCTTCCCAGCCTCTCCCATGTCCCCAGCCATACTGGCCTTCCTACTGGTCATGCTCCCCACTTCCTCTACCAGGAACACTCTATCCACCACCCCTTTTAGCAGTCCCTTCTACTTCCTGCTAACTACAGCCTTATGCCCATACATGACTTCAGGTCTCAGCTTTTTTTTTTTTTTTTAAAGAGAGAGAGAGAGAGAGAGAGAGAGAGAGAGAGAGAGAGAGAGAGAGAGAGAGTTTTAATATTTATTTTTTAGTTTTTGGCAGACACAACATCTTTGTTTGTATGTGATGCTGAGGATCGAACCTGGGCCAAACGCATGCCAGGCGAGCACGCTACCGCTTGAGCCACATCCCCAGTCCAGGTCTCAGCTTTGATGACAACACATCTTGAGAAAAGATCTTCCAGGGCTGGGGTGGTGGCTCAGAGGTAGAGTGCTTGCCTGGCACGTGTGAGGCCCTGGGTTCAATTCTCAGCACCACATACAAATAAATAAATTAAATAAAGGTCCATCAATGACTAAAAAAAATTTTTTTTTAAAAAAAAGAGAAAAGATCTTCCAGGGAATAGGGCAGCTTCCCTGGATTGATCTCATCATGGCACTAATCCTTCATGGCACTTGTACAACTGTCATGAAATAATATGTCATTGTAGTTTAGTTTGCCTCCCCAACTACAATGTAAGTTGCATGAAGGCAGACAGCAGACGTGCCTGCCTTGTGAATTGCTCTTTCTTCCTCAATGCCAAGCAAAGAACCTTAATAGAAACTAGACAGAATAAATAACCTTCTACAAGCTGGGCACGTTATGCACACCAAGGATGATCCAAACCACAGTCCTTAAAAGGAAGGTGGTCATTGTTTCCATTTCACAGATGAGGAAACTTAAGCTTAGAATGGTGTGACTCACCCAAGTAGGTGGTCTTGAACTCACCAGTTTGACTCTGAAGCCACACTCCGTCCAGGAGCTTAAAAGCCAATCCTAGTGTGGTGGTGGGAGGAAGAGCAGAATTTCTCCTGCTTGGGTCTAAGGACAGAAGAGAGAGTTGCCCCTCTGCTTACTGTCAGTCAACCAGGAAGGAACCAGCAAGTGACAGGGCCTGAGGTGTTAGATCCAGTTCTGGGGTGTGGCCAACCACAACCTGGGGAGAGGTCAACCACAGACACTTCTCAGGAGGGGCTTTGGGGACCCCAGAAGAAATCACCCTTATTCTCCCTGCAGAGTTGGCCTTTGGTCCTTGCCCTCTGGGCTGAAGACAGGGGTCATGTGGAGGACCCATGGCACCCAGTATGCCCTGGTCGCCAGGCAGCTGCCACATTTGACTGCTGCATTTGAGTAATGTGCAAGCTTCAAGAGGGGGGACCAGAGTCACTGAGCGCCTCCTGAGCCCCCTCCTCCACGCTCCTTACAACCATCCCACCAAGAGCTGCTTATTAGCTCTTCTTAAAGATAAGGAAACTGCAGCCTGGAGGGAAGAAGTGACTCCTTCGAGGTCCCAGAGCAGGGAAATGGCTTATGCTGGCTGTTCAGAATAGGGACAGAGGAAGCGATAGCGAGTCCTCTTGAGCAAAAGGGGGAAAGGGTGGCAAGTGAGGGGAGATAGAAAGAAATGAGAGGAGGGAGAAAATGGTGAGAGCGAGGAGCCCAGGGTAGGAGAATCCGCCCCACAGAGAGAAAGAGAAGCGCAGTGAGGAAGAGCTGAGGATCGGGGAGAGACTGAGGCGGGAGAGGAGACCGAGAGCGCCACAGGGACAGGGGATGGAGAGGCTCCGAGGGAGGCGGGCAGAGCCGGCCGGAGAGCCCCGCGGCCGGAGCCAGTGACAGTCACAGGCGGGGGCGGGGGGCGGCGAAGAGCGCGGAGCGGGCGCGGGACGGCGGCAGGCGGGCGGGGCGGGGAGGCCGAGGGACGCGGCGCGGCGCGGCCGCCTCCTCCCGGCTCCGCCGCCGCCGCCCCCGCCCCGGCCGCCCGCGCCCGCCCGCAGCCTAATGACCGCGGCGCAGCCTGCGCCCCGGCCCGCGCCCACTCGAGGCGGCCGTCAGCTGGCAGCGCAGGGCGAGCAGGGACGGCGCGCCGCAGCCGGGGTGGCAGCTCCCCCGGCTCGGCGGGCCCTGATTGATTTGTCAGCGGAGGCGAGAAAACAGCCCCTCTGATCCGCGCGCCTCTCCGGCTCCCGGGCCGGCCCTGCAGGCTGGAGCGCCCCGCCGGCCCCGGGAGGGAGCTCCCTGTCCCCCGGCCCGGGCCCCGGCGTCCGTCCCCGGCCCCCCACAGCCCGCGCCTCCGCCGGCTCGGCCCGGCCCGCCCGCAGGCCCTGGGGCTGCCAAGTGCCCCGTCGCCCCCCCTGGGCACCGTGCCAGCGCCCCCGGCCCTCACCCTGCCGCTCCCCCCGAGCCCGGCGCCCCCGCCCCCCGCCCCCCGGCCCTGGCCCGGGGCCGCCCGCAGAGCCGGCCACACCCGCTACAGAGGGCTCGGAAAGGTAAGCAGGCGCCTCGCGCGCCCCGGGGCCGCGAGGGCTGCGCGGGGGACGCGGTAGGGCCACCGTGGGCACCCGCGGACCCGCACCGGGGTCTGCTTCTGCCACGGAGCCGGGAACCCGCGAGGGCCCGCCGGGGCCGGGAGGGCTTCGGGCGAGTTGGAATTGTGTAGCGAGGACTGGTGGAAATTGGGTGATAGTTACCAGTCTTCCTGTCCTGGGAGTGGGGGGTTCGCTCTTGGGTTAAGAGATCTTCTGTCCGTATGTTTTATCTTCTAAGGAATTCTCTTCCTCTCTTGCCATCCTCTCTGGCTCTGAAGGCATCATTTTCCTGTCTCTTTTGAGGGGTTACGTCTTTGCTTTGCTTGTCCCTCAAGCAGGGAGACTCTTTGCATTCCTCCCCCCAGTTAGCTATATTCTCTCTCTCCCCCATTTAGAAAGATTTTCTCCCTCTTTCTCACTCCCCAATTTAGAAAGAAATTCTCTCCCCACAATTTACAACCATCTTATTCTGGCTCACTCTCCCATGCTGAAGACTAGACCCACTTCTCTGTTGCCCTTTTACCCCCACTTAATGCTAGGTGTGCAGATTCAATTTGAGTCTTGCACTGGGAAGGGGGACCTGGTGTTTTTCTGGTGCAGGGGCCAGCTGGGGGCACGGGGTCCTCACCCAAAGCAGAGTACCATCAATCCATCTCTGCCTCTGAGAGCACCTGCCCAGTCTCAGCCCAGGTGTGGGGGGCATCTGTTTCCAAGGGGCAAGAAGAGAAGAATTTACCCTGAAACAAAGAATTAAAGCCTACGTAGACTGTCCCAGCCTCTTCCAAGGGAGAAGAATCCCAGTTTCTGGGCTGAGGGGCCATATCTAACCCCCCTCCCCCACCCTTTTAACTTTAAAATAGTTTAATGAACACACAGAGAGAAATCATTTTTTTTCCTGCGTGGTGAGCAGTCTACAAAGAGAAATGGGAAAGGAGGGAGAGAGCTTTAACTCTGATCCCCGCAATTAGTTCCCTGGGATTGGGGGGGGGGACCGGGAGCCTCAGTTCTTCAGATACAAAAGCATTTAGATCGCTTTAGACCGGTTAATCCTGAGTCTGGCTCGGGTCTCTTTTGTTTCCCAACTCCATTGTGGGTTTTGTGTAGTTTCTCTCTGTTCGCGTGATTGACTAGCCAATGGATGGTAATTATCCAAATGTCCCCTCTGTCCTTTGACTGACTTCTCTGTATTATGGGCAACTGTCATGCATTCTGTCATTCCATATCATATTACACATATTATCATATGAAGTCGCCCCTTAAAAGGAGGGAGCTTCAGCCCAGATGCTGCTGCTTTTAGAAGGAAGGGCCCCCGAATAATTTGTTCGTGCGCAGTTAGGAATACAGAACAGGGGACGCCCAAGATGGGAGGTTCTGCAGGTAATTTGTTTTTCTGACTGGGGTGGGGGTGGTCTCTAGGGTTGGGGTTATAAGAACTTCTGTGAGGAGCTTGGCATAGATTTGCCAATTGTATTCTGGTCAGACCCTTGGAGTGGTTCTGAATAGATCTGGGGTACCTTATGGAGAAAGTTGAATTGGTTTTTTGACCTCAGCATATCAGAAAAAAATTGCAGGATTGGTGCCTTTTGGGGGTACAAAATCTTAGTGGCACATGCTCAATGTACCAGTCCTTGGGATCCCAAAATACACCTCTTCTACCTGTGGCCCTTCACAGGATAAGTCCTCTGGACCCTTACCCCAGTTTGCTGCCAAGCAGACTGGGGATGGAAATGCCAGCTGTGTCTATTTCAACAGCCCACCCCCACCCCCAAGCAAGCTAATACTAAAGCTCTGAGAAGGGACAAGCTTTCCGGTGATGCTTTTGCACAGATAAACTTAGTGTCCCTTGGTGCAATTGTGCATGCCATCACTTAAGAGGGAAGCAGGATTTATAACAAGGAGGCTTTGCAGACAGAGACTCTGGGGTCCTCTGAATCTGTGGGCAGGACTAGCCTTTCTTCTGCTAAAATGTGAAAAAAGTGTTTTATTATTGCAATGGATATGAAGTGCCGCCCAGATGTATAGCCTCGCAGTTAATTACCTTGTTCTTCATCAAATATATGAGCAATAAATTCTCTAGGTAGGGAGGTGTGTGTGTGTGTGTGTGTGTGTGTGTGTGTGTGTGTGTAGATAAATGGATGGATAGATGAATTCAGGGGAGAGAGAAACTCACTCTTTTTAAGACCACAGAAAGAGACAGACTGTTTTATGAAAAGCTTGATATACTGCTGCAAGATGCTTTGAATTTTTCAATGATCAAATATACATGATCAAGCTGAGCATGTTAGGGTGTGAGGTGCACTGCCGGTCAATGGCTATTGATCAGGCTGTTAAGTATTTCTGCTCAGTTTTATAACTATAGATAGATCCCAGATGACTTAAAGAATTATGTAGCTAAGAATCTAGCATTCTGTGTTTCTTTGGAGAAGGGGAAATGGCTGATCAGTTACACAACACCCCAACCATTGTTTACCCCATTAGTCTCCCCCCAAAAAAATTCCTTGGAAAATGTGAACTTCATTAGCAGAAGTGTTTAAGAATAAAAATATTCCAGATGTTTTGCTTGGGGTTTGCCCAGAACAATCACTTTACCTGAGTCTAGCCTTGTTGATAGAGAGTTTACTCCTCTCTCTCTCTCTCTCTCTCTCTCTCTCTCTCTCTCTCTCACACACACACACACACACACACAATTTTGCAATCACAAATTTGACCTAGACTGACATGCTGCTGAAGAGATGGAGAGGCAGCATTTATGGGAGTGGGATCTAAGGTTCTTAAAACCCTTCTGGTTAGGAACTGGGTGAACCGGCCACATGGCTTTCCCCAATTAACTAATTTCTCACTAATCTAAAGATCTATTTAGAAAGGTGTGGAGGGGGTGGAAGATGAAGATTTAAAGATAACCTCTAATTGGTCTTGAGAAATTTCGTCCATGACACCTTTTTCTCTTTCATTCTCTCTCTCCTCTTTCCCTACCCCCTTTCCTATCTCTTTCTTTCATTTTGTCTTCTGGAAATTAAAAGTGGACTTGAAAGAAAGGAGTCCTGAGAAACACTTGGGAGGGGGAAGGAGCAAAAGTGAACTTTTAATTTTTACTGTGCTGCATAGCAATCTTATTTTTAATCATCCAACTAGCTATTTTGTGAAAGAATCATATTCAAGAAGATCAGCCTTCACCCTGATTGGGAAAACTTAAGCACACAGAAAATTGATAGTTATGATTTGTTTTCATATATTGAAAATACAAGAATGTAGATTTTTAGATGTTTTTGTCTGCAGAAAAAAAAATTTCAATCTGAGTATTCCTTATTGGAGTGGCTCAGGCAGGCATCCCTATTGATAAATTCCCCTCGAAATGGAACCAAAATTGGCATCCCTCAAAAAAGTTGATCTACCTAGAAATGGATGGATCAGCCCTGATTAGGTGGACATGCCCTTTCACCTCATTGTGTCTGACCTATCACTTAATTAATCTCTCCCAGATGCAGAGCTGTTGACAATGCCAAAGATAAGCAGTATTTTGAACAAAGCAGGAAGCTTTTAAAAGAACAAGCCACCGTTTGAGGCTCTTAAAATGTGTAAATCATCAGCATTTGGATGCACAGACTTTGCTATAACAGCTGAGTCTAAGAGATGGTCCCATCTTTTCTAGAAACTTTCGGTGCCTTTCCTTAACCACTGATGTCTATGTGCATTCATGTTCAGCCTTTTGCCTCTGTGCCTCTGGTTCCCTTTCTTCTGCCTCTCCCTCTTTCCAAATTCAGACTACCCATGGCCAGCTTCCTGAAAATTGTCCTCTGCTTTCTAGTCTTGTCTTTGGCTCTTGAGACCCCCTTTTTAAAATAATATTAGGGTTATCGAGGTGGTCAGTTCGAAAGCTTTGGGTGACAAAATATTGACTGCATTTGCTAGTACCTATGGAGGAGGACATTTGTGTTGGAGGCATCTTGGTGACATACAGGGAATAGTTAATTAATTAAAAGACTTGCTAATTGCTGCTTGAATTACTGTACAGAGCAAATGAAACAGAGAGTTTATAAAAGATGACAATTTGAAGAATGATTTTTTCTTAAAATATTTATATAAACAGGTCCTAGAAAATGTGTTGCCTTTACTCATGCCTCTATCGTCAACTATTCAATTGAGCTTCAATTAATGATAATATATGGCCTGGGATCCTTAGCTGGGCCTGACTGATGGAAGAGCTTTGTTGAATTTGGTGCAGGTGGCACTGTTTAATAAGCACAGGAAAGAGTGAATAATGTAGTGCTTGCAAAGAGAAGTAAATGCAAAATAGATCGCTCTAATTATGGCAGCCCCCAGAAATGAAGACGCAAGCTGAAATGGCCAACTAACTGGGAAATTCCAAATAGAACTGATTGTCCGCTGCCTTTTTACTTTCAAGGGCTGACACGTTAGCTTAGAAGTAAATGTGGATGAGCTCATCTGACTCAACACAAGCACAAATTCAAAACGTGAGTCTGATGACCTATCAGTGTTTGCCTTAACTGTCTAGAATCCTTTACGCAGTTCTAGCATAGGGCTATCTGAACATCTCTACAAAAGATCGGCACAAGCTCATTACAACTAGTCTTCATGTTTTATTGCCAAGTGTCAGGAGATTTTGGTTTTGTTTTGTTTGAATTTCTTTATGCTTGAGAAAATGAGTCTATAGGAAATCAAAGTGTGAATACTTAAGCAAACAGAATTTCCCATATACCTGCAAGGCCTCATAATGATTTTCATTCATGCAGAGATAATCGATGGGACATTAGTTGTTTTAATTAATGGAAGAATAAAAATGGTGAGGGAGGGGGTGCCAAGAGGCTGGGCTTTGGCTAAAGCCTATATGGGAAAACTGTTCTACACCTGAAGAGACAATGCCAACTTCCCAAAGACCAGTAGAGATTTGCTAATCAGATCAGTGGAAAGTTGGGCCAGGCTAGAGGCAGGGTCTTGCAGAAAGCACAGGTGGAGAGATGGTAGCGGTGCCTGACATTTTGCCTTCTCTGCAACCTCCCTATTCCCCTAGGAAAAGTACCAAGTCCTACATCACCTCATTGATTACTTTCAAAGAAGGTGCACTTTGTTCTAGGAGCCTAGTATGCTTTGTGTCAACAGCTGGGAAGGCAAAATTATCTTGGATTATGGAAGGCTAGGGCTGAACGCTGAACGGTTTGCTAGGTATGGGATGATCTGTGTGGCAGTGGCTCCAGCAAGTGGGTACAGACTCTTGTCCACTGACAGGGGACCCAGGGAGGAACCAAGTCCAGTATCTTTAGACCAAACCCCGTTTTTGTCCTTTGGAAATATCTACCAAACCCACCTTTAATCTAGTGAGCACTGGCTGGGCAC